TGTATTTCTTACTCTACAGAAATTAACACACCCGATAAGTTGGAATACCAATACCATCCCGCCTCTGGCAGTGTTTTCACATTTAAAGTACGTGCTGGACATGATGCTCATTTGGCTTTGACCTCGTCTCCCGATCAGAGCGGTCCTACTTATGAGATTTTCATTGGTGGCTGGAATAATACTAAGTCTGTTATCAGAAAGGATCGTCAAAAGCCCGATGTTGTTGAAGTACCCACACCCGATATTTTGAACGGTGGAGAATTCCGTGGTTTCTGGATACGTTGGTATGATAATTTGATTACTGTTGGACGTGAAAATGAGGCTGCAGCTTTTATGTCATACGATGCTGGTTATTTATTCCCAGTAAACTTTGTTGGTGTGTGCACTGGCTGGGGTGCAAGTGGCACTTGGTTGATTGATGGTAAGTTTACGAGCAATGTTAGCATAATACTTAGTATAATTTAACGCATACATTTTCTTTGCAGACACTCTTAGTGCACAACCATCAGCACCAGTTTATGGTTTTGCACCACCAACTGGCAGTGGACCTGGTTGTTGGGTACCTGCAGCTGGTGGCCAAGTACCACCCAGTGCAATGGAAGGTGGTTTCGATGGCAGTGAACAATTGTATATTGGACGTGCACGTCATGAAGGTGATCTTATCCCTGGTAAATTGCATCCATCCCATGGCGTTTGCTATATTGCTTATGGCGGTGGCGAACATGGTCATAATGAATACGAGGTTTTATGCTCAGGTGGCGGTCACTGGGTACCAGTTTACGATGGCAGCATTCCACCAAACGCTATTCCCGGTGGCGAAACCGCTGAAGGTGAACCTCTATTCATTGGTCGCGCTACCCACGATGGCACAATTACCGTAGGCAAAGTACAGCCATCGCACGGCTGTTGCTACATTCCATACGGTGGTGAAGAATTGGCATATAAGGAATATGAAATCTATGTTGCAAACTAATTATTACCTATATATGTATAATACATAGAGTCGCAACTTCGTGTTGCACTCACTTAGCTTTGTAGGATTTGTATTGTGTTTAAAATACTTGAGCAAATTAAAAAAAAAGTAGTTATGCAAAACAAAATGCATTTCTAATTGCACGCGAATAATTAAAATTGTGCCTAACTTTTAAATGTTGTCATTTGTTAAGATGAGAATTTCGAATCTGTTAAAAACAATATATCGAATTATTTATTTTGTCTAAAAACAAAGAATCTCTTTCATTTTTATGGATTTTTTTTAAATTTATAAAATAAATGTTATAAACTTAACTTATAAAAACTGTTTTTACTTGAGCAATGAGTTATTATATATAATATTTATATATGGTTTTCATTTTCGATTTATTAGTTCTTTATAAAAGTTTAATTTGGAAAGATATATTATTTATAATAATTTTTATATTTTAGATATTATTTATTATATTTCTAATTTATAATAAATTATTTTTTTATTAATTTTTAATTTATAATATTGTACGCGGTCTATAAAAAGGAAGGAAGAAGAAAGATAACTCTTAAGACGCAAGAAACGAGATAGAGAAAATCGCGAGGAATTCTGTTTCCGAGGTGTTTCCAAAAAAAAAGTATGCTCATGGCGACGTGCTTGTGGGCTTGTGGCGATGTGCTGATAGTGAAAGTCAGAAAATCAGTTTTTCATTTTGTAGTTGTTATTGCGGATAAGCATCTTCAAGACATAGACCTAACTACGACCACGTAGTTAGCCTGTAACCGCCTAAGTTTTTAATTACTTTCATTGTATGTCGGACTTAAAAATATGCCAATAATATATTTTTACTAAGTTTTCATAATCCATGTTGATAGTTTCTGTTTAGAAATATTTTAATTAATTAATTTAGAATTTAATTTATTGTAGAATATGTTATTTGTATATAAAAGGTGAGCTGTCTAAGCCATTGATTACATTGGTCAATTTTATGACATCAACTCCAGTAAATTAAGGGCAAAATGCGATCTATTATGTTAAACTCTAAATGCTGAGTCAATGTTATAACAATAAAAATTATTCACAAAACCAAAACGGCATTTCAGCTAAAACTTAAAACTTGCCAATTTCTTTAAGTTTAGTTGCAACCTATCACTTTAGAAGTATATATAACAGCATGATATCATCTTCATAAATTTCAGTTAGATTTATTACTTTATCATCGAATTCCAATCTTCTCCGTTAATTAATAATTTCACTCAAATGACGTCATTAAATGAGTACGTTTGAAAAGCTTTTATAAAAAAATATAGCTTTTATAAAAAAAATATAGCTTTTAAAAAAAATACTCATTAAAAAAATCGCTGACAATTAAATCTATTTATATTATAAAGCTTAGATTTAAATGTAGGTAGATTTATTTCGTACTAGAAGCTAGATGGCTTGCATAGAATGATTAGTCATTTTTTAAATCAACAAGTCTTATATTTAATACAACAATAACAAAACATATTCTATAACAATAAAATAAAAATTTATGCTATATCATAATAAAATATAAATGAATAACATTATCTTATATATAAAATTAACATTGTCACAATGTTAGTTACCGTACTCCTCCGAAACGGCTTTACCGATTTTTACCAAATTTTATATGCGTATTCAGTAGGTCTGAGAATCGGCTACTATCTATTTTTCATACCGCTAAAGTGATTAGGGAATCCCTACCCAGCAAAAATATCCTTATTGCTCTAACAAAAAATTTTTATTTTTTTGACATAAATTTTGTTTATATTTTTGAAAAAGAAGAATTTTTTTCTTAATATTTTATGTAACTACGCCAACAAGTACATCGAGCATTTACATCCACTTCGTTTCTTCGTCTTCGCCTTGCATGGCAGATGGAAAATGTACTAAAAATTTTTCTAAAGATTTCACTAATGATACTATAACAAATACCGACGGATATCCAATATATCGTCGAAGAAATCCCGATAATGGGGGACAATGGCGGGTGGTGCCGTATTCGCCTCTGCTAAGCAAGACATACAATGCTCATATAAATGTTGAGTTTTGCAGTTCTGTGAAGAGCATCAAATATATAAGTATGTCCATAAAGGCAGTGATATGGAGTGTTTAGAGTAGAGTAGAAAAATTGGTCGGTACATCAACACCAATGAAGCTGCTTGGCGTATCTTCGGTTTTCTAATTCATGAACGGGATCCAGCAGCTGTTCAGTTAGCCGTCCATCTTGAAAACGGTCAGCGTGTATTTTTCACGAACGAGACAGTGATTGATCGTGGTACAAATCCACCTAAATCTACACTCACTGGATTTTTTTGAATTGTGTAATAGTACGGATGATTTTGGTGCCTTTGCAAGAACATCACTCTATTCACAAGTACCACGCTATTTCACATGGGGTCAAACAAAAAAATGAATGCCCCGCAAGCAAGTTTCACCAGTTGATGCATGTCTCAATTTATTTAAATCGAACGCTTTGTGGCGATTATTTACAGTTAATCCAAGACACACTGAGTGCTTTATCTTCGACTGTTGTTGGTTAATGTTTCTGGCCCATTATCATTATTATTATTATTATTTACAGTCAATCCAAGACAATTTAAATTTGAAGATACAACAGTTGTTGCCAGGGAACTTGGTATCATACAAATCTATTGATTTTAAATTAATAATTTAATAAATAAACTATAATAACTTAAAAATAATATTGTTTGGAGTTTGTTATTTTTATTTTCCTTTTCGTTCATAGCGTTCCATGCCTATTTCATGCATATATCACATACTTACACACTTATAATAAGTAAGTTACTTTTTGTCTACACTAGAATTTATCTAGAAACTAGAAATAATTTATAAGGCAAAACAACGTTTGTCGGGTTATCTAGTAATATATATGTTTGAGAATAACTTGATGATATTAAATAATAAAGATATATAATTATTAATTTATGAAATATTAAAATATAATATATTTAATAAAAAAAAAAATATAATAAAATTTTATATCATTATAATATAAATTAAGCACATTTCGTTTAATTACGAAAAATATTAAAAAAGTATTTTTTCTAAATAAAAAAGAAAAAATATAAAGAAATTTTTAATAATTCAATATTATAAAATTTTTTAACTTTTTTCTACTATTAGGAGTGACAGTTTCATACCGCGCGAAGTTGTATTATTCTTTTATGTAGAAAGCTTCTTAAACTTATTTGTGCAAATTAAACCTATTCATAAACTTAGCAATACTGAAATCGACATCAAAGAAACCTTTGAGCATCTTATCTGTTTCTGTATAACTCTCTCGAAAATTAAAACACAATTCTTTAGAGTTGTTAGTTTTGAGAAGATGAACTCGTCCATGATCTTGAAACGAACGATTCCATAAAATTCGCTATTGACAGACAAATCTTAAGTTATGTATACTGTCATCAAGTGCCTTTAAGAAATAATGTGGTATTGCTATAGACCAGTGACGACGCGTGCCCTATCTGGAAGGGTGTGCGGCTCTTCTTTAATGTTTTTTTTACATGTACCACTTAAATTAAAATATATGCGATGTTTTATTAATAATAACTATATTATATAAGGCAACAATATATTCGCGCAATATTATATTAACAATTCATTAACAAAATAATATATTAAACAAATTAAATTAATAATTTATATACAAGTTTAATATTATATCAATATGGAAGAAACAAAACTTTTCACATAAATCTCGTAACATCAAACCAACTTTTTTCAAACAAAAGAGTTTGTACTTAGAAACATACATGTTTGTGCAGTGATCAAACAAAATCGAAACCACTTGCAATGTGCGCACAAGTACCCCGCACCATAAGAACAGAAATTCGTGGGTGCTGCTGTTAAAAGGGGAGAGACGAAATGTGATAGAAATGTATGGTGAGATGAGCTGCAAACTTCAGCCGCTCATGCAATCACTTTGGCAAATCATCATGTTGGATTCGTATGTGTGCAGTTGATATTCGAGTAGAACAGAAAATTACTCTCATACAATTCCCACTATATAAATCTCTATTTCTGATATTACAAACGGGAGCACACGCACATTATTTTGTTCATATGCAACGTATGAATGTTAGGCCAACTTCTTTGCACACAAAGGGGAGAGACGAAATAAAATAGAAATGTTCTGTGATTTGAGCTGCAAATATATCAGCACACCTAACAAGTATAGCAGCTAGCAGAAGCAAATTGATTGAGTTTTCATAGACAATTATATTTAATTGTTTTTGCTAAAACTTTAAAAATATATATATGGAAATGTAATAATTAATAATAATTCTTGATGTGAAGATACCTAATAAATTTATATACCTATGTTATTTGACATTTTGCAAATTATGTTAGGGTGTTCACCGCACACCTCCGCACCTTAGAGCAATCGTCACTGCTATAGACACATCAGGTGTATGCGTGGTCTGGACAGCAATCACTACCTATCGACCTAAATCTACCACTATTTTTTGTTTCAATGCTATAGACTTCATTGGTTTAATGAAAGCTGGATAGCTGAAGATACTGAACACGTTTTCTATCTATCGCTAGACACAAACACATAAAATGGACGTTTTCCAGTTAAAAAACCAATAATTAATAAGAGTTTCAACCTATTTAAACTGAGCTACTTGTCAGTATTTCTATTTTGATTTTTATTAATTGAACTATTTAGACTGCATTTATCTAAGCATTAATGCAGTCTTACAAGTGGATATCTAACAAAGAGGGTCAGGTCCTAAAAAGAGACTTTGACCACACTCATTCACAAGCTAATCAGCTATTTTTTTAAACTGTTCACATATCCGGTGTTTCTTTGTTCATACTAATTGACTTATTTATAAGATAATTACACTTAGTGATTCAAAATTGTAGAGATTTTATGTGAGCTAAGTTACTTTTTAAATAAGGTGATTATGGTGCATTTATATCGTCTTAAGAAGCCATATGATGCATAAGGTATGATTCAAATGAAAATCTCTAACTGGAACGGATAGATTGTAGCTGGGTTCATGGACGTCAGTACAAAGTTTTACGTTTTCAACTTTTAATCCAATGATGATCTAAACACATACATAACAATATATTTTTATAAAAGTCTTATTTATACAAAAAATAGAAAAGAATATAAATATGAAATAATTTTCTCCTTTATGTATTTTATTGTTTTTGCATAAAATGTATTTTAAAATTTATATTTAATGGTTATTTAAGTTATAATTTAGTACAAATATAATAGCTCATATTTGTATATAAATATGCAAGTATGTTTGTATGTAAAACAACTTTGGCTAAAAATTATTAAATTGTAGCAGTTTTCTTAATCATTTTAATATATGTTTATATTTAATTTTATTGAAATATTAGTCATTAAAGTCCTTTAAGTATTTATTATATATTTTATATATAAAATTTTGTTTTATACAATCTATAATTATATTTTTATATATATATTTATTTTCTTATTTATGATGCATTTGTATAACAATTTCTACATTTCGTTTTTTTAAGGACTTGTTTATTTATGTAAAAATATTCTACAAAAACCTAACATTTAAAATATACTATTTCTTGTGTAATATATATCATATGGACAAGGTTTCAACATTCATTTAAATAAAATATAAAATTCAAATCAACATGTTAAGTGAAATAATCAAAAAAGCTTTAGGTTTTAAAATAAAGTTTAAAATATTTTATAAAAAACCTAAATAAATTTCGCATGTTGGCTCAAGTTTAATGGCGAATCTGTGTAGACTCACTTAGACTAGGTATAGCTCCATTGCTTCCGTTGTGTTCTTGAATAAAATATAAGCATAATTAAAGGATAAATTATTTTTTAACCATTTTTGGTAAAATAAATGAAAAACAAAAAAAATTTTATTGCTCTCATAAAATACTTATTTTTACCCAATTTTAAAAAGGCAACATATCGTAGTCCAAATATAGTTAATAACAAAATCAAAAAAAATCTTTATTTTAGATAACTAGATTCTAAATAATTATTTCAAAGTGTGACCACACTTTTTATTCTGTTAAATACTTCGGTAATATGTGATTCTGTCGAAAGGAATTATATTTTTATCGTTTTACTTCTTTAATTATACGGTACCACAATGGGCTTGTAGGCGTAAGTGGATCCCTTGGGATCGCCGGTATAACCTAACCTATTGTTTAAGTTAACAAATGTATTTATACAGAAATAATTGTATCAGAGTTTGTGACTTCTGTTCAAAGTTTGAGCTAAACATGGAATCCAATAATCTTTTCTACTAGATTATATGTACATAAAAATAATTAGTATTGCATTTTAAGAAAACCAATTAAAATAAAATAAATGTATATGTAATATAGTATTTAACAAGATAAAAATACTTAGAGATTATGTTTTCAAATAAATAATTTAAATTTCAAAACAATCATATTTACGTAATTTTCTTCATAACATACAATAAAAACATATAGATAAGTATTGGAATTGGAAAAATATCGATTCTGCTCATTTAGCTTTGAAACTCTTTTAAATTCCATATTATTCATACATTTGGAGAAAATTGGATGCTTTGCCCAAATTACCAGATATATTAATAACCAGCCACATTCCTTAATAAACGAGCGCACTCTATCAGTTTCTAGGCAGGAGATGTAAGTTCAAGAATTACGCTTGTAGATACTTGAACTTGAATTTTAATAACCATATATGCCACTATTTAAGTGGCATATAAGAATTTTAGGAGCCTCTATCTCGAACACACTGAATCCATAATTTAAAAAAAAGTTAAATAATAAAAAAATAAAGATGATAAGTCAATAATAAAGCAAAAAGTTTTTAGCAGGCTATTAAAAAATATTAAAAAAAAAAAACTGCCAATTTCTTTAACAAGTTTATTTTTCAAATCTTAGTTTATAGCTTAATATATATAAATATATTAATTGGATTTTTTGAAATAGCTTTTAACATGTTTTTAATTTTTTCATTATTTATATTTTAAAAAAATGTTACATTGTATGCTATTTATAATTATAATAATCATTTATTTGAAATTATTTTTTAACGATTATCATGCATCTTTTTTTTTTAAATGAGTTAAGAAGAAACTATTGTAATATATTAATCGTTTTGTTATAAGTTATTTTATGTTTTATTTATTTTTATGACAAGATAAGCATTTAGAATATATTTTTAGGAGATTGTTGTATATAATATTAGTTTATTTTTAATATGTATAAATATTTTTTATTTTATTATTTTATTATTTTTTGTTTTTTGTATAGTTTCATTCATGTTTAATTTCTTACTTTTAATTTAAAATTAATAAATATTAAAAACGTTATTATTTATATATATAGCAATAATAATATATATTTAATAGTATAATAATTTTTTGTATTTTACTCTTTAAGTTTATAAATAAATAAAGCATTAAAAGAGATTCTAAAATTTAAGTCAAAATTTTGTAGTCTTTTTATTCTTCAAATACAACAAAATTTACTTTACGAAATTTTTTTTGCTTAACGACAATATTTAATGTATTATATTTATATTATATATATAATTTTTTTGTAAACAAATCTTCATTTTATATAATATAATTTATAAATATGTTTGTTTATCAAAAAATGCTTAGTTTCGCACAACAACGAAAATAACAATTTTGTATATATATATTTTATTCAATTTCATAAATAAATTAAACTAATATACAAATAAACGTAATTAATTATTATAATTATTACATTATTTGTGTATTCAATAAATAAATTCTGACTAAATTACAATAATTATCGTAAGTAAACATCCGCTTAGCACATTCAATCCTTCATTTTTTCAACTTCCTTTTCTTAGTTCTGCGTATTTAGATTCCATTGAGCAAACTGTTCCTGCCACTGATTATTCTGCATTGTCTGTAAATAAAAATACTAACTGTTAAAAATTTATAGTCTTTGAATTAGTCAAACCATGCAATAGAATTAAATTTTTATGACCATTTATACACACAAAGTACATACATATATTAGTATATATTATAATAGAATGTATTTACATCTGACTTATATGTTATGTATGTGAAATAATTGGGTTTATATACATTATAAAGGATTTGGAGGATAAATGTATAATTTGATAGTTAGAAATTTACAACATAGGACTACTCATTGTATTACAATATAAGAAATTTTGATATTTACAGCCGAATTATTTATATAAATAATATATATATATATATATATATATATTTATATATTTACTAATAACAAAAAAAAACAAAAACAACAAAGATTATAGCTTGAGATTTTAACCCTTTACCTTTTCATTCCATTCGGTATTATAAGAATGTGTTTCGTCAAAATCTGCAATTGTATTATGAGTTTATTAGGAAAACCAAATAGCAGATTTATATTCATTTATATTCAAAATAAATTACATTTTTATATTACTTTTACATTTGTTAAAATGTGTTAAAAACTCTCTAAAACACATCCATAAAACAGCAAATAAAAAACTTTGTGTCGAATACAAAAAAGTAACAGTTCTACATCTATAGTTCTGAATACAGCGAACATAAATTTAGATGGAAAGTAATATTAGCATAGGTGAAAGAAGTATTGAGAAATGATTATGAACTTATGGCACAAATTACAATTGAGAAAATGCTGTGCTATATATTTATTACTAATACTTATTTTTAAAGCAGATCTATGTTTCAAATTTTCACGTAAAATTTTTCAAATTAGATATATTATTGATTCCAATACAATAAAAACCACCAGACTCAAATGAATCATTGGAATCCCAGTGATGACCTACATAAACCTAACTTTAAAATTTTTATAGAAGCCTTCCTATTTGAAATGCGAAGAACAAAATTAATATATAAAGAAATAAAAATATATCATTTAAGCTAGGGCTCTCCAAAGCACGGCCCGCGGCTAATGTTTGTGCGATCCGCGATATGTTTTTAATCTACCATAATTAAGTAAATTTTCTTTGAGTGTACTGGAAAAACTACATAATTTTATTCTTATAGTATATCAAATAAATGAATTTAAATTGATAAATTAATAAAACTGAATTTAACATTATAACCCCATTTTTATTTTTGTTGAAAACAACTATGAACGCATTATTTGTTTCTGCGGCCCTCCAATCTGTACAGTGATTTGTATTGGTCCACGATCACATCTAGTCTGGATAGCCCTGATATAAGTTATAATTTAATGTCATTTTTATGAGGAAAGTGACTATTATATTTAATAGAAACTAGTACATTTCATAAAGATGTTTTTCGAAAAGTAGTAAACTAAAACAACAACAAAAATTAATTTTATATTATTTTAATTAATTGAATTTTTAGCTGTCCATACAGCTGTTTCGAGTTTTGCCAAATACCCATCATCGGTGGTCTTGGAAATAATTCTTTTATTTAATTATTCGTAAATAGTTTTTTGAGATTGCAAGTACCAAGAATTGAACTCGTGCTCTACCAGAAACAGAAACAGGCAATACTAGAAACAGTAAAACCATACCGGTAAAGGGATTTCGAAAAACCATCTAATATAAAACAAAAAACAATCTAATATAACGATGCCAAACCTATGACATGCATGTCATGAGTAGCATCTATAAAAATAATTTCTTGAGACTAACATATATGCACAAAAGCAGTTCAATAAAAAATTTATTAAATGCTCTTGAAATTGAATACCGCTTCATAAAACAAAAAAAAATTAAATCAAACGATATCTAACGATTTTCTGTCTCAAACGTATAAATCATCCACAATAGCGTAGAGCTTGAGGCTAATAAAGTAACAGTAAATATGTTCTTCGACGCAAACAAATTTTATGTGCTGCAATTCCATTGATGGCCCATAAGACATTATTTTTTTAGTATATGACTATTAATGCATATGTGAATACGACGAAATGAAGAAATAGTTAAACATCTGATTTGTCATTATGCAGCGCGTGCGCAACTTAAGTTTAATATACCAATGGTTTTTTCTCAACCAACTTTAAGACCCTCCGTCGAATACAATTTTATTCTTTTAAATAATTTAAATCCTATTAAGATTTACACGACACTACAATGGGAAATTAGATATAAGTGCATCTCAATGATCAACATTACAACCTATCCTCCATATATAATCTATATTTCAACTGCAACAAAACTATAAACAAAACTCGTTATGACAATAAAGTTTATGACCCGAATATGTATACAAATAATATTAATAATTTATTTATTTGAGTCTAAAAAAACTTGACAATTACAGAAAACAACAAATTAACAATGGCAATTATTTAATATATTGTATTGTGTAATTGGTATATTGATGACATCAGTTTACGGAATACATCCTAAATTATATATTTGAATAAATAATAAATACTAGGTATATCAAAAAAAATATTTCGTAACCAGCTTTCGTAATGTCGTAAAATTATATGGCTATAATTGTTGTCAACTAGAAACAAGATGATCTATTAATTTCTTATTAAACATATATTTGACAATATCATCGAAATTTATAATCCAAAAGAATATATGTACACGCATCAAATAAAGAAAGCATGTTCAAAATATTGCTATATGGGGAGTTTTGATATTAAAAATACTTCCCTAATAGCTCTTATTGGCATACTTTTAAACATATTATTTCTGATTCAATATTATATATATAAATTTATATTGTATACATAAAAGTTCCTAAACAGTTCGGGATAGATATAGTAGTCTATCTGTCTATATAATACATATATTATTTTTTCGAACATAGCAGTTTCGCTATTAATTTATAAATATTTATTATAAAACATATTTTTGGAATCTCAATTGGTTTGCTAGTCATGATAATGATGATATATGTAAATGACTGATAAATAGAATATATAGAATGTAAAATTATCAAAAGCAGCAAAAATAATTTTACATAAATTTCTTTTCATTATAATTTTAAATCTGTGAGGAATTTAAAAGTGTTTATTCTAATGGACTATTTATTTTATAGAATAAAGGAATTTTATTTTTAATTTGAACAATAGCAATTAAATTAAAATAATAAATTTACCTCACATTTATTCTTAAACGTAAACTTCATAAACTCAAACTATATTTTAATATATGGGCGTGCATAATCGTTTGCAACTCATCGATAGTCTCACCGATTTCATGCAAAGCCGGAAAACCAGCATTGTCATCCTCAATCAAATATTCTGGATAGTGTCTGTAACCAAGTATCCGATCTATATGAGCTTCTTCATGAAGTATATCCTCATTTTCATTGGCATAGTCCTCATCACTTTGAAATACTTCCACAATTTCATATTCATCAGAAGATTCACCACCTTCGATGTGGCGTGTTTCTTATTAAATACATTATTGCATATATTATAAATAATAGATTTAATAAAAATTCATACAATTCATAATATATAATTTTTTTTTTTATTTTTTATTTTTTGTTTTTGGAGAGTTGCAGTAACGGTCATTGTTTTATAGTTGTAGGTTGACATTGGGTATGAAGAGCAGAAAATTTATTTGAAAAAGGAAAAATAAAATCAAACTGAATTCAACAATTGCATCTTTTCTTATGCCGTCTATTTGGAAAATAGTCTAAAACAAAAAATGTGAAATAAAAATAAAAAAAAAGCAACAAAAATTCTTTTTTAATTCTATTAGAATTCTATTAGAATATCTTTCGGTTTAGAATCACGAATCTGCGTTGCTTTAACTGATGTGGTGAACAAATTGACTCTGTGATATGGAGACGTGACTTGATCAAATGCAGCACTATACCAACTTACCTAGTGGCAATATAAAACGAGGTTGATTTAAGTTGTTCGATTGTCCTGGAAAAATATTTCAACAACGTATTTACAACAACACAAATAATTCATTCTGCATTACAAAGCCGCGCAAAATGTACAAGAGTTGTGCATATGAAGGTAATGCGATTTGAAAATCAAGTGCGATAAAAGTACTATGAATGGCAGTAGAGGAGATATTTAAGTGCTGTATGAGAAAAAACATATACATATAAAATCCAGTTATTTTGAATGTGAAAAGATGTATCAATTAAAGGTTTCCAAAATTCAAATTAAGGTGAAACAAAATGATATGGTCAAGCGGTGTTACTATTTCGATCCAAGCAGCAAAACAGTGCCGAGTTGCAAATAGAGAAGCACATTCTTCAATTTATTTTTACTTTATACATTTTTAATTATGCTGCCCGTTTACCTGTATGAAGACCATTCACTAATGTAGAAATAGCATTGGTAATAGAGTCTGCCGCTTCGTTAAGCTCCACATTCGAATAAGATGTTTGAGCTGAGCCATAAAAAATCCAAATTTTGAGTTGGTCTCAGTTTTAGTAAAGTTAAAATTAATTTTTTTTCTATATCAGCGTCATATATGTATTATAAGTCGTTATTGATGATATTTCCTAAATATAACTACTACACTACATGGATTAATATATAACAGTGTAATTCGTTTTATGATGATAATATTATATGCGTTATGTGTAAGTCGGTTGTGCAAAAGCATACGTTTGGAAAGAACAATTTTTAATCGACAGCAATTCTTAGTGAAGAAAGTGAAATCAGGTCACAATGTTTCACAAACATTAATTTAAGGATATGGATTCCAATTACAAGTCACCAACGAAAATAAAATAAATAAAATTAATAATAATCGATTGTAGCTTCACTGTGCTGGACGGGTTTTTTGCCATCATTGTATAATGTAAAATGAGCCAAAAGACTTTTCAACTAAATGAAAGTATCTTGTCGTAGGGCAAAAAGCCGTGTAAAGGTGTATCCACACATTCGCAGGCAATGGTACCTGCTAAGGTTCGTTCGTTCGCAAGTGATCGCTTTGGTGTGGATGTTACCTTAATGTGATGCGAACCTTAAACGTCATGGAGGAAATTCTTGGTTTTTTATGAATATGTGGAGATAAAAATATTTTAGTTGTATTCACTCTATCTCACAAACTCATTGCAAGCAGCATGAAATGTACAGATTGCGCGAGCTTGCAACGGTTAATAACAAAAAAGGAAAAAACTATATTGCAATTATTTGCAAGCTTGCTATACCTAAACCCATGTATGTATACATGCTGGCAAAGAACTATTTCGTGCACCTTGCAATGACTTTACAAAACAGAGTGAACACCTCTTTTGTATTCTTGTTGGAAATTTCCTTTAATATTTGAAAAACCTTATTTATAATGGTTTTCTTAATAAATTGAGAACAGAAACGTTATTTATTTATTTATTTTTGAAAGGTATTTAGTTACTTATACGTAAAGCTCATCCTTCTTAATGCTCATAATATATTAAGCGTCACAAAATCTGCTGTTTTAGAAGGTAAGTTCGGAAATAAAAAGTATTGCCCTACCTCGTACCCAGTTCGAAACTAAATGTAGGATCACAATTCCCGGACAATTTTTTTAGAATTGCTCATTCAAATGTTATATTAGTTTAGTATAGATCTAGAGAAATATTCGCACAATATTTCTGGTATTACTTCAGAACTTACTTCAAGATTAAAAGACTATTGGTTCGATTTCTAATATCATATTGGATTTCTTACAATACGGACATCCATTTGAGTAATGCTTAACATTTACATCGTAACTAAGAAATTTTATTGCTATAGTGATATTGTAGAAAGAGTTCTAAGCATATAGTAATAAAATTAAAAGACTATTGGATATCTATCTATTTTTATTTATATTTATCAGTGTATTTGATTATATTTTAATTTAAAAGTACAGAGAAATCTATGTTAAAGAGATGAGAGAGTTTTCTCACATTTTGTTTTATTTTAATATAAATTTTAATGTAAAAGCGAATGTTTAATTTAATATACAAGACAATTGGTTAATACATATGAACAACTCAAATATAATACCCATAAATATTTTATTAACTATTATTTTTTAGTATATATATTTTAGTATCACATTCACATTCTTTAGAGAACTATCTAAAACTAACAAACTATCTCAATTAAACTTCCAAAGATATATATTATAAAAATTGAAACAAAGGAGAGTATTCGTAGAGTATTCAATATTATAATAGAAATGATATCGTAAATAGAATAAATAATTATATATGTGAGCAATGCGTAAGTCAATCAATCAATCAATTAATCCTACAATTATTATGAAACGGGTCGAGTAACTCTATCTTAATTGGGTTAGCTGGAATAAGGTTTGTAATCTTAAATCAAGGAACACTTCTTAGTTTAAGATTCAATTGCCCAATTAGATGTAAGAAACATTTTTTAGAGATGGCAAAATAGATTCCAATAGCAGTGTAAAAAGAGGGGCAAAGGAATAACCATAACGAAATTTCGAAATATGACTTAAATTGACATTTTAAAAATATTAAATCATATTATATAGAGCCTTAACCTATTCTATATATATTTCCAATTGCCTAATAAATATATTATTAAAAAAAGGTTATAGCACAAGTCTTTACATATCAAAGCAAATAGTGAATTAAAAATGTTTGAAGGAATTTTTCAATACAATAGAATATTTAGCTGGACATTGATTAATCTAACACCAAATTTAAAAAATCTTTTTAATAGTTTATATAGTTAATTTAATAAATAATAATATCTAAATAATAATATATAAACAATTTGATTACTCACGCGCACTTCCATTGGCAGCAAACGCAGCACGAACCTCACTGCTAATTTGATTGAGTTGATCTAGCTGATTTTGGTTAAACGCAGACTGTCCTATAGGTGATTGAGAAAGTGGTGTAGATTGTTGGGCTTGTAGTAATTGTTGTTGAGTTGAACGTAACACATTTCCACCCATCATAGCATGTACTTGCGGCATCTGCTGTTGATGTAATGAATTCATCGGTGATGTACCATGTGTATTAAGTCCTCCTCCAGCACCTCCACATGGCATTGGTGGGGACTTACCAGAGCGAGGGCTAGAATTTGGTGTTGAGCGTGGAGAGGCGGTTTGTTGATTTTTAAGCATACGCATCAGTCCTTCTAATTGTTCCATTAACTGACGACGTGAGTCTTGTAAAGCTCCTAAATGCCCTTCTAGTTCTCCTTTACGCTGACGCAATGCACGCAGTTCATTGATGAGTGCTGGATTTTCAGGTGCCATTTGCTCAGCTTCTTGTTGGCGACGTAAACGTGCAATTTCTCGCATTATTTCTTTGTTTTTAGCTTCTAGTTGCGCAATTAATTCTCGTTGAGCACGTGAATTGTCTGAAGTTATGGGATTTGCGTTTTCTGCACCAGCCATACCAACGGGCTGTGTTTAAAATAAAATTTATTAGTTGTGTATTATAGCTACTATATTTAAATGATATAAACAAAATTTTCAATATAAGATCTGAACATTTTTTTTACATTAATTATTTATATGCTTACCGCACGGTTTTCTTGCGCTAGACGCGCTGCGTAACGTGCAATTAACCTATGCTCTTCATCATTTGCCGACGCAGCTACTACACGAGACATAGACGCTGCTGTTGCACTATCTAAACTACGACCAGTCGCTCGTGAGTCTAATGTACTTGAGCGATCAAATAGTCCACCACCAGGACCAACTGTGCCTGGACCATGCAAAAGTGATGGATCAGAGAAACCATTGTGAGACGGTAATGGCGATGGCGGTACTATATGTGACAAATTAAGCGTTTTTTCGGGTTGTTCTGGAAATCGTGGCAACACTTGCGTCGTCTTTTCGGGAACACATCGAAAACTTTTTCGCAACGAATGTCCAATTTGTTTGCTTGGTGATTTATAGCTCGAATATTCCTTAACTTCGTGATCGTTCTGATGATTCAGCGATGTCTTGCCATGCCAAAAGCATTCTTGACACAATTGGTAGGCGTGACACCGCTGACAACGATAACGGAATCCAGTAAAATTTTCTTTATGACAAACAGAACAAATCGTTGGATGGACAATAGTCTCGACTGTGGCCAATCTGTGCAATAGAGGCAACCAGACAAGACATGACGGTCCCGGTTCTGACATAAGTGTTGCCATGAAATCATTCACAGTGACTTTATTTTCGGCAGGAAATATTTCCTCTTCAAGGCCTTCCTTGTAATGGAATGTTGGAGATTCATAAACAGCTGCTGGAAGTGCAAGCACTTCTCGTAAGAATTCACCCAACTTCCATAAAACAAGTTGGCCAGCACCATCAGAAATTTGTGAAAATATATCTAATAAAGAGGAAAAGAGAAATAAAAAGTAAACGAGAGAGAAGAGGTAAGAGAGAAAAATAATTATTTAAATAGTAAATAAATTAATAGGTTATAAGCTTACAACGCAATTTATCAACCAACTTTCCAGAACACATGGTGGCCAAAGCAACTTTAATAGAAAAAACTCGAATCTTGCCGGAATTATCACTGAAAAATATATTTTGAATACATAAATAACTATTTCAGATCATTTTAATTTAATATATAAAATTTTACCTTGTATATGCTGCTAATAACCAGTTCAAAAGAAGTCCAGCTTTTGAATCAACAGGAACTTGTTGAGCTGTTGGAAGACGTTTATTTAAATTGTGATATAATGATGACACGAGCGTTTCCAGTCGAGCAACACTAACTTCACTCTGTGGTTCCAGTGTATTTAGACCATTTTCTCGAAATGCTTCGATAACATTCCATATATCTACCAAATGTAAATTTGTCGATTTCTGTATGTAACGTAATTTTGATGCAGTACGATATGAAGCAAATCGAATGGAATCAAATGTTTGCAGACGTAGGTCCTGTAGTATAGCCACACGCGGCTCTAATTCCATCATGGCTGATTGCATTTACTATATCTTCAGCCAATTATTATGTTTGATCTAAAAAGAAAAACAATTTTTATTTTAAATACAAACACTAACAAACACAAGTCACCTTATTCGTAATTAGTTTTTATTAAAAACTATAAACTAAAATCAATATGTGATAAGTAATTACAAGAGTTTGTGAAACCATCAGCATGATTTTATTATAAGAAAGTGGAACAGAATGCAAGAAATTTAGGTCATCGTCATACTAGTTAACTCAGTACCTCTATATGGTGAAGCACAATGGAACATTTACCTTATTTTTACAATGAGTTAACGAACCAAAGAAATTTTTTTTGCTTGCTTGACTTTTCATTTGCTTTTTTTTTTTATTTTTTTCTTGTTTTTGCTTTTTCATTACGGTTCCTAATAATCAGAATACAAAAGCAACTAGCAAGCTTTTGTTTTCCAGATTAGAGCAGATGAGTATCCTCCAGTTTTGTGAAATAGGAAAAACCCATTGCCTTTTATATTGTGCTAATATCCGTATACAGTGTTCATAAACTTTATGTATGGTTGGCATTCTCGGAAGTCAACAATTGAAATTTTAAAAACAAAGTTATCCTATTGAAAAAGTAATTAACGTTACTTCGATATATCGACAAGTTATTACGGCAACATATGGAGTATGGGGACTTTTTATTGTAGAACTTTAAATGTAATCATCAACTGCAATGGTTTAAAACAAGTCTGTTATAACTATGATAAGAAAACTATTTATAACCTTTAATGAAAATTTTTTATAATAAAAAACAATGCATTAAACTAAATGTATTATTAAATTTATAATATATGGTATAAAAGTATGCATAAATATTTTTATTTTAAATAGGTAGAGAATATCATTTTTAACAAATTGAATCGTCAAACAAAGTGCTTGACAGATTAAATAAATTATGGTGCGATAAGACCTCTTCGAGGCCGTGCGCATCAAAAACTCTTCAATTAATAATATTTAAGTATTCATTCCCAGTCTTAACACCAAATTTTTTAGTTATAGACTAGTTTTCTGTATAAAAAATTTATTAAGAATGGAATACGAAAGAACTAACAAAAGTTCCAAATAAGTCAGCTTATTTAGCATAGTATTAAGATATGTTTGCCATTCTTAACGTATTTTGGCGTAACCTGAATAGAATGCACTGTCACTCGACATCTCAACACAAATCTCAACTGATGTCGGAAACGTCGGTTTGTTAAAGTCCATAATTTATGAAGATCCATAATTGACACAGAAAAAACTGCTGATAAACTGGGTTTGAATTCTATGGGTATATGGTACATGTGAAGCAATTATTTATACAAAATGAAGAAATGGGTTTCATATGTGTTTTATATTTAATTAAAAAATTTCAAAAAAGTAGTTAGATATGATTTTATCAGGCGGTGAAGTTTGGTTTTACAAGTAAAAGACATAAACAACACAAGAGTCAAAATTATTGAGCCCAAAGGTTTTAAACAACCCGTAATAACCAGGCAGCGCAATACAGCAAAAAAGGATTAAAAAGCTGCAGCTGTTATTCCCCTTAAAATCCCTTTAGAAGATTTGTTATCTTTTTAATCATCTAACTGTTCAGACAGTCCACTCTGTAATTCCTTTCTATTTCACAAATGTGAAAGATAATTTTAAAGGATGTTGTTTTTCAATAATAGATGATAAAGAGATGATAATAGATATTGTATATTGTCAATCAAAGCTGTAAATATGCAAAAGCATTGGACGCCCAACTTTAACTTATAAATATATGAAACTACAGATGAATAGTAGATGAGTGAGATGTTAGGTAATGAATATCAAATAACTATAATATAATGCCCTAACTATAATGCATATATTCAGGCTGTTAATAAATTTTAGCAATTTTGGGTTATATTGTTTCAGAGTTTGTATGAATGCATAAACAAATTCAAATTCATCTTTGTCTGCAAAAACAAGGTATAAAAAAAACGACAGAGATAAGTTTCGGAAAACCGTGCTTTATTTGAGGTTTTGCAGAAACGTGTCCAACTAGTTGAAATCCTTAAATCTAGCAAACCGAAATTAATTCATTTGTAAAATACTTTTATGAAAAAAGAAATGAAAATACTTATATATATTTATTATATTCTAAATACTTTACAAATTTAACACAATTTGTATAAATACTATAGAAACAATTTTAAAAAAATCTTTAATTAATAAAATAAATTTATAAATTAATAATGATGTTTTTTAACCAGTACGTTGTATTTTTTTAAATTATAATTTTCATTAGGGTACTCTGTTCTTTTTAATGGGATGCAAATAAAAAATAATTTATTTCATTTTTTTTATATTTATTTCATCAATTATAAAATTTACTCATTTTTATTATTCTTAATTAAATATTGTACTTAACAAATGAAAACATTCACTTTACAAATCGATGAATACCAAAAAACAGTTTGAACCTATTCAGACGAGTATGTGGCGTATGTAAGTTCACCCACAAAGGGTTTTAAATGATAGTGTAGTTGTAAAAAAAGAATATAAAATAGTAAACTTACAAGAAATCGGGTTTACTTTGTGTATGGTAATGTATTATTTTATTACTTACACAATTTTAGACGTTCTTATCGTGTCTGCTAGTCTGACTGTCTAGTCTAGATACTGAAGTTTTACCTCAGTGCAAGGAAATTTATATGTTGCATGTATACGATTTCTCTCCCATTGTCTTCATAGACTAATTAAAATATACTGTAGTATACTAATACTAATTAATTGCAATAAATAAATATGTAGATACATATCTCAAACATATATACATGAACATTGTATCTAATAGAAAATTGAGGAAACAGTTTAGTTGCTGGTAAGTATATTACAAATGGGGTAACTAAATAATAGTATTATAATATTATAATCACACTGTGGCATATGTACTTTAAATGGAAGAAAATTAATTTATTCTAAACTCATGTAAGTTAATATTTACAACAGAGTCAATTATTTATAGCTCTAATTATATTCATTTATATTTTATGATATTTTTAAGTACATATAATTGTATAAAATTAAATCATTTAATAATTTAGTATTTAAAAAATGTATTAAAATAAAAATTCTAAGTTTATAATAAAAGCATTTGTTATAAGCAAAAACATATACATACATATATATTTATATATATTTCGTTTGAATGAAATATTTGTGTTAACGCTCTACTCCAACTTATGACAATTTGAACCCGAAATCTTCAAAATGAAGTGTATGAACATCACTATCCGTAAAGAGGATACTATGAATAAAAGAGATTGTGGACACTTTGCAAATATCTAAGCAATTCACTATTTTACTTTATTGTCTCATGATGACTACAACGATGTCAGAAAGAGGAATTTTTAAACGTCCTATGACAAAAACAAGACACAAGAAGAGCAAAGGATAGAAGGAAGAAAATAGGACAAAGTAATACTAAAATAGTTAACAAGCAATAATAAAATAAAGTACATACTCATAAAAGAAACTGGATATACAAAACGCTTTAAGTGAAAGATTTGGCATGTCACGAGGATTAAATTAAACTATTTGTACATTCCAATTAAAGTCATAGCATTTCGTCAATGGTGAAGGCCAGAATATATAATGAAAGCATTATTTAAAACTCATGCAAAACAACTGACGTCTATGGATGGAAAGCACTACTTGATGAGTACGAGTATGACGAAACGAATCTTTTGCAAATATTTTGCACACAATTACACATAAAAATATGAAAACTGCGAAAACTATGGAAACTATGGTGTATATAATAAAGCTATCATATAAAGACAAAATGTATGTAATGAATTTTACATAATAAAATGCAGTCGTTATCCATGTATGCAGGATATAGTGCCCGATACAGAGCACTCTAAATGTCCTGTGTGTAACGTATCACTTTTGAACTAAGGAAGTAAAAGTGTGTGACACATTTTTTCACATAAACGGAAGTGGAAAAACTTCAGTAATTTTAATATTGAAAATATAATATAGTTTTTATATACATATTCTATGGGTAGAGGTAACTCCAATGGTTAACTTAATTTATAGAAAAATTTTTTTAATTTGTGATATTTTTACTATACTGTACTGTATTTTCGATTTAAAAATAAATTATATGCAATTTAAAAGATATGTACATCAACTTGGGTATAAACCAATGCATTCAATTTTTTATTTAAAAATGGATTTGTCTATAACTATGATTATAATTTTTTGGATAATGTGTGTAAGGCAATGGGAGCTAAGAACGAAAATAAAATATCCGCTCATCTCATTTATTTATTCCATTGTTAGGAAATGGATTAAAACGTTAATAACTTAGAGATTCTGTTAAGATTTCTAATAGCCAATGTGTCATCATTCCTTCTCATAATAATAATAACGACTTAAGGACATTTTTCCTTTAGCCTACCATTTGCGTCAATAGAAGTCTAGGCTTTTATAGAATTTAATTACTGCTAAATTAACTTGTCTAAATTAATTTTAGATATGTCATCTGGATATATGTAAAATTTGAAACATTAAGTAATAGGGTTCTGTTTAGTCAGAACCTAAGTCCTAAGTGCCAACAATCATCATTGTCCAAAACTATTTATTTAGATGGTGTTTATTTTTACGGTGCGTGTTCATTAGTTCATCGTCGTTGCATTATAATATTAGTTGGTTATTATATTTTTTAATAAGAGGTTTGATGCAGTTTTTAATTAAATTCGTTGAGTGTTGATTAGTCTCTTTACTAGTCACATTGACATTGAAGTTTTCCAAAAGTCAGTAATGCAGTGAAGGCAATCCTGAACTGTACATCAATTAAAAAGAGATTTCTTAATAGATATTAATAATTTGTTTTGAGTGAAACTTTATTGAATATTTCATTGGAAGGAAATTTTAAACATAAAGAAAAAAATCATAAAAGAAATATTTTACAATATGTGTTTTTGGCCCTTCTTTATTGCTCTACTTTTCTGGAACTAAAATTTTTCACCAAACTAACAAACTAAATTTTTTCAAA